TTTAATTCCCTCAGGGCTTTATCCTTCCCAGTTCCTGTGTGCTTGGATAAATTCCCTGTATCCCCTCAGGCTGCTCGGCCCTGCTCCCACCCTCTGCAGGAGGTTTCCTTCCTTTCCATGGTTGGGTTTGTCCCTTTCCTTCAACGTGGCTCTGGAATGCTGGACAGCCCTAAAATCAGCATCACTCCAAGCCCTAAAATCAGCACCGCTTCAAGCATCACCTGCAGCCTCCAAACTACCCCAGGTGGAGCTGGATCCCTGCAGGAACTGGGCCATGTCAGACTGGGAGGATCAGGCTGAAAGCTCATCCCGAGCTCACAGCTGGGGAATTCCTGATCCAGGAGATTGGGATCTACCTGGGAGAAGGGAAAGAGCCCCAAGATCGCCCCCAGGCTGGTCCCATAAAGCCAGGAGGATTCCCAGCAGGAGTGGGACTGCTTTCCTACAGAGCACCCTCAGCTTTTCCAGCCTCAGGATGAGCTCAGAAGCCAAAGTTTTCCCCAAAACCTCTGAAATTTCCCCCAGAGGCTGTGACAAGCACAGATTTTATCTGTGCATAATCCAATGCAATTCAGTGGGGTTTCAGCAGTGCAAATCCCCTATCTCAATGCCAGCACTTGGAAACTCCTCTCTCCCAAAGCACCACTATCTTTTCCTTGGCTCCAAGCAGGACATTTTATTTCCCTACAGGAAACCATTTATTAGTTGTTTATTATTAATACAAAGTCCTTGAAGTGGATTTTGATTTCACCTGTTCTTTGGGGGAATCAGAAGCCCTTTATAAATCACTTTGCATCCAAATAAGTTCCAGTTTCACATCCATGAACCTCCAGGGACTGGAGCCACCAGGAACAAAATGCAATTTCCACACCGAGCTCGGGAAATTCAGGGTTTTGGCACCTCATCTTCGTTGGATATTGGGCAATAAATACCTGGTAGAGGCAGCAATGAGGTAAAAAGGAATTACAGCTTGTCCTGCACCACTTTCTCCCAGGGCTTAAATGATGTGAGCAACACAACAGGGAAAAGGCAATTGTCATTTTGTAATTTTACAAAATTAGGTGCCAACAGAGGTATTGGGATGTTTACATGGTAATTGAAAAACATTTTAGCTTTGGTTTCAATAGGGATTTGCCTTGCAATTACCATCCCCAACTATTTGTTTTATTTTTGTTTTCCATAATGAGAAAAAAAATATGTTCTGGCAGAGGTTTGGGGCCCAGATCCTCAGGGTAGCACAGAGAAAATTATCCCAAGTTCCTCTGACCATCAGGAAAGAGCTTTGCTCAGGAAAAAGGGACAAATATCCACAATTCCCTCCCTGCCAGGCTTGATCAGGTCTTAGAACCCCAAAAAATCCCAATCCTGCTGCCACTTCCAAGGCTCTCAGTGGTACCAGGCATGGAGAATCCTCCTGTGTCCAACATGTTGGGAAAAACACGGATTTCCCACTGGGAAGTGCCTCAGGCACCTCTGAGAGGCAGCAGGAGTTGGACAGAGCAGTGGGAGCTGCACAGACTCTCCCATCACCTTCTGCATCCTCACTGATTTTGTGTTCCCCTGAAATTTTACACCTCAGGTAAACCCTCCTAGAAATTCAGTATTTTGGTTAAAAAGGGAATGAGGGTTTTGTGGTTTTTCAGAACCACACTGAAGCCAAGCAAGCACATCCCACAGGATTCCCCCTCCCTGTGTACATCAACAAAAACTGCAGAGAGGGGAAAAGCCCAAAACCACCACCAGAGCAACTGAAGATTTTTATTTTTTAGTGTAGAACCTTCACACTGAAGCATTTTCTGGTAAGGACCAGGATTTAACCATTTCTCACTCAAAATGAGAGGCCCAACCACCTCCTGGTGAGGAAAGCCAACCCTTCCCCAGGGCTCCCAGATGATGCCAAATCCTCATCCCTGTGCCAACATGGCAGGAGCTGCTTCCTCACCATCCAGTGCCCTGTGTGCCTGCCCAGGGCAGGGGACTGGAGTGGGCTTTAAGGTCCCTTCCAGCCCAAACCATCCCAAATTCTGTGATAACCCCACAGCTTTTCAGCTTCTGCTATAGGCACACCTGGGTTTGCTCCCACTCCCTCCTCACATCTCATCTCATTGATGCCATAACCAGGGGGACAAAACAAAGGCTCCTGGGCATTCCCAAAGGATCTGCAGAGCACTCAGCTAGGAGAGAGCAGCATTTACCTGGTCAGCCCCCTCTCAGCAGTGCCACTGCATAGCAGAAAAACACCCAGACACTTGGAATCTCAAAGGACTTGGAATTCAAGAGCCCTGGCACCCTAAGATGTGTCTTTACCTCACTCCCTCCAGAGCAGCCATGGCTGCCCCAGATCCCTGCAAGTACCCCAGGCCAGGCTGGTCAGGGCTTGGAGCAGCCCGGGGCAGTGGAAGGTTGGGAAGCCGAGCACAGCAGGGCAGCCCCATACAAAGAACCCCCAGAGCCGCCAAAACCTGCACAGAAGGGAAACACGCACAGATCAGCTGGGTTAGGAGACCATTTATTAGGTAAGACTGAGCCGAGACGCTGCAGATGTGTCAGGGAAGCCCTGAGACGCTCCGGGAGCTCCTGGCTGTCGCCTCATCCTCTCGGCGCTCAGTCCAGCTGCAAGAGAGCGAGAGACACGAGGGGAGTCAGCGGGACCCGGCACCCCCGAGCCCCTTCCCGCAGCCGCGGGGCTCACCTTGATGAAGCCGATGTCCTTAGCGTACTGGCGGAAGCACTGCCGGCACATGTTCAGCCCGTACTTGCGGATGAGGCCGTGGCGGTTGGAGCACACGCGACTGTGAGGGAACAGAGAGAGGCGCGTGAGGGCGGGGAATGGCGCCGGGGAGGGGGAATGTGAGGGGAAAGCGGAGAGAGGCAGGGCGGTGAGACGGCAGCCACGACCCGGGAGACGCAAGGGGCGGCACTGACCAAGAGCGAGAGCCCTGCCCGAACTTCCTGGGGTGGCTCCAGTAGAGCTGCTGGTGGCCCATGGCTGCGCGGTGCCGAGAGAAAGATGGCGGCGGCCGCCCGGCCTTATACCCCTCACGGCGCCTCCCGGCGTGCACCGCGCGGCGCCCGCTTCCCGCCCTGCGCCGCGGGCGGGAAAGCTCCGCCCGCCCCGTGACGTCATCGCTGCCAAAGCTCGTATCCCTAACGGAGGAGGCTGTGAGTGCCGGGCGTAGTGGCGCGCGCCTGTAATCCTAGCTGTGGGGGAGGCTGAGTCCGGTGGATCGCTTGAGCCTGTGGTTCGGTGCTGCTGTGAGAGCTGTGTGGGGACCTAAAGCCGGTATCGATTATGGTGACCTGGTGGATAGGTCACCGGGACGAGGCACGAGCCGGCGAAGGCCATTTGATGGAGCAGGGAAGCTCCGGGGGCGGTCTGTGGGGAGCCGCACTTGTTAATAGCCTCGCCAGCAAGACATGGGCAAGATAGGGAGACGGGGACTCAACCTTTTGCCACACACTACTAATAAATAACACACCCTGAATACTCCACAAAAACCCCAAACACCCCTTTCCACCCCAAACCACACACGCGCAACACACCGCCTCCTACTGAACAAAAACCGCAACAACCTTGCACCGCTCAACTACACAATTCACTGCGCCGAGCAAATCTCAAACACCGATCCTACCCTCAAATAGTACGTCTGCATAAACACCCAGCAGACGTCTCCCCGAGTTTGGTTGTTTTTTTCTCCCAATGCCGTTTCTTGTGCTCAAAGCCCCTCATGGCGCCCACACCAAACCTGACCTAAGTCTTCCTGTCTCTTACCAAGCCTCAGCTGCTTCTGTCGCACCCACCTGCCCTCAACGCCTCAGCTCCTCTGTGTCCCCTCACCTCCCATGTCCCCTCATCTCCTCCATGTCCCCTCCCTCACACCTGCTGTCCCCTCCATGTCCTTACACAGAATTCTCTGGCCCTTCCTCTGCTTCCTCTTGCTCCTTGCACCATTCTCCCCTCTAACCCCTCTTTTCAATGCCAGCACATCACCACGTGTTTTATGCTTTACTTGAAGTTTATGGAAAACTTTATATTTTATGTCATGCTCGGCCGTGACTGTGTCTTAGGTAGGCAGGAACTGGGGATTGGATGGGCAGATTTATGTAAACTTTAGTGTATAAATCATTTTGCTTTTTATTCCCTGGCATGCTTGATTTGTGGACAATTTCCACTTTGCACCCTGCAGAGAATAAACAATGTCACCTTTCTAAACCTGACTCGTTCGCGTTTAGAGTCCCTAAGATTCAGCAACACCTTCAGCTCCTCTGTGTCCTCCCTCAACTCCCCATGTCCCCTGACCCCCCGTGTCCCTTCTTCACACCCTCCATGTCCCCTCATCCTCCATGTCCCCTGACCCCCCGTGTCCCTTCACACCCTCCATGTCTCCTCATCCTCCATATCCCCTCAAACCCCCGTGTCCTCTCAGCTCCACGTCCATTCACAACCCTATGTTCTTCACACCTTCATGCACTCTCACATCCTCAGCATGCCCTCGTATCCTCAATGTCCCCTCACACTCTGTGTCCTCTCATACACCCGTGTATGCTCACACCCACATCCTCTCAGGTCATCTATGTCCCCTCACATCCTCTGTTGTTTCACATCCCGTGTCCCCTCACACTCCGTGTCCCCTCGCGCCCGGTGTCTCCTCACACTCCGTGTCCCCTCACGCCCCGCCGCCTCTCTCCCTGTCCCGCCAAGCCGCACCAGCCGCCTCCAGCAGGAGGTGCCCGCGGCCCGCCCCGCGCGGACGGCGCTGCGCTGAGGGCCCGCGCTGGGGCTGCCCGCGGCTGCCGGTGCGGCCGCGGCCGCCGGTACCACCGGAGCCGCCGCCCTCCCTCCCCGCCCCGCGATCCCGCGGGCCGGGCAGCCCCGCGCCCCTCAGCGGGGAGCACCGGGCAGCGGCGGGCTGGCACCGCGGCGGGCAGGCAGCACAGCGGGCGCCTGTGCGCGCTCAGCGCGGGAGGCCCCCGGCGGCGCCGCCCGCCGTGCGCGGGCCGGGGCCGGTGCCGGTACCGGGGCCGGGCCGGGATGCGGCTGCAGTGCGAGGTGGAGGTGCTCAGCCGGCTCCTGCCCACCTGCGGGCTGCGGGGCCGCGGCCGCGCCGCGCGGGCGCTGCTGTCGCTCGGGCGCCCGCCCGGCGCTGCCGGTGCCGGGATTTACCTCATGGTGTGCACGGCGCGGGACCGCGGAGGGGCTCGGTACAAGGTGGGGACGGCGGCGGGGGCCGGGAGGCGGCGGGGGTGCCCCGGGGCGGCCGCTGAGCCCGCTGTGCCCGCAGGTGCAGCAGAACGTGGAGCGGCTCTTCACGCGCTTCGTGGAGGAGGGAAAGGCCACGGTGCGGCTGCGGGAGCCCGCGGTGGATCTGTGCCTCAGCAAGGTGGGACCGGCACCGGGAACCGCACCAGGAACGGCGGCAGGGCCGCGGCTCACCGGGCTCTGACCCCCGCGCCAAGGCGGGAAGGGACCTTAAATCGCATCCCACCCCTGCCATGGGGACACCTCCACTGCCCCAGGCTGCTCCCAGCCCCAGTGTCCAGCCTGGCCTTGGCACTGCCAGGGATCCAGGGGCAGCCACAGCTGCTCTGGCAATTCCAGCCCAGCCAGGAATTCCCAATCTCCCACCCATCCCGGCGCTGTGGCAGTGGGAGCCATTCCCTCTTTTCTGGGTTGTGTTCTAACTCTCCTGAAATTCATTTTCATGCTTTGCTTCACAGCTTCTTTAGATAAAGCTTTTTTCAGTTCTCTGGTGCAATGTTGGTGTTTGGCCTTAAATCCCGTGTTCCCTGAGCTCAATTTAATTCCCATGAAATTGTTGTTCCCTACAGTCTTTCTCATGGAAAAAAAAAAAATGGAGAATCCTCTTGTTTTCATGGACAAAACCATCATTGTGCTCACCGTGGCTTTCAAAGCACACACAGAGCAGGGCACAGGCACCATCTCCCCTTATTTCAAATACCTCTGTATTTATTCACAGTTCCCAGAGGATTTGTAAAGTGTTTTTAACGACACTAAACTCATAAGAAAAATCATATTATCACTAAATTCTCGTGTCCTTTTCTTCTGTGCCTGTTGCAGGAATCTTTTGTAGCCCTATAGGAGAGAAAAGTAAGACAGGCTTTTTATGATCTCTGAGTTCTTACCTAAAGCTTTAGAGTCAGGCTGTATAAATAAAAGTAAATAATGTTGATTCGTAGAAAATCCTTTTTCCTTTCTGTTACCTAATTTTGAGGAAAGCAGCCTTCATTTTATGAACCTGTTAAAGGGTTAAAGAGGAAGGGAGGACACCAAACCCAGTTATTTTTTTCCTGTTAGAAGCCAATGTGCTCTGTGTTTTGGAAAAATTAAGGCTTTTGTATTAGATTCAGAATAACTTCTGCTTCCTTTACTCTGAATTTTTCTGTTGAAGACTGAGAAATCAAAAAGCTTATCTGAAAACATTACAGGTTCCTCTTAAGCTCTCCAACTCCAGAACCCAAATTTAAGATGTTTCATCCCTTTTCCATAGTTTTCTGCCAGAGTTTTATTGCTTCATTACAGCAAAGCTCCTTAACTCTCCAAGATGAACAAAAACTTTGTGGAAAGGAGATTTCCAGGGACTGGAGTATTGCTTCTGTGAAATCCCCCTGCTTGTGCTGTGCCAGGCACTGATTTGCTGCCCTCAGCCGGCTCAGGAATGGAGTTGGGAAACATCAGTGCAGAGCAGAAATAACAGATCCTGGCTGTTTTCTGGGGCTTGTTTCCCTTCAGCAGGTCTGAGCCTGCTTCCCTGGATCCACCTCAGCTCCAGTTTCCTCAGAACTCTCACACTTGGGAGGCACCAACACAATTCAAACTCCTTTTCCAACATTGTCTGTGTGGATGGGACTTCAGGCTTGGGGCAGGAAATTTCATCCTGAGCTCTTCCAAGTAATGATTTGTTTTCTTCTTTTTTCTTCAGGGTTTCTCAACAAGAGGTTTGGAGATTTCACATGGCCTTTAGGGAGGTCTGGTGGAGGGAATTGTGCTTTGTGCTTGAGAGCAAAGAAATCCTGCCTGTAACTTCATTCTGGTGTGCAGTATTGATTTCACTTGCTCCTTACAGATCTGGAGGACTTTTTGGACTTAATTCCCATTTTAGTGATCTTGGAAATGCCACAAAGCAGCCTGGAATGAGGGGAAATTCTGTAGCTGAATGTGTGTGTTAGACTGGCTGAGATAATGAGGGCTGGTGGTCTCAGAATCCCAGGCTGGTTTGGGATAGAAGGGACCTTAAATCCCATCCCATCCCCCCCTTCCACCATCCCAGGCTGCTCCAAGCCCCATCCAGCCTGGCCTGGGACATTTCCAGGGATCCAGGGGCAGCCACAGCTGCTCTGGGTAACCTTGGATCCAAAGGTGTTTGTTGTGCATCCTCCCCACCTCTGGAAAGTGGCACAGCAGGAGTTGTGCTTGGAATGCTTAAGGAAAATTATCAGTTTAGTTTACACATGCAGTCAATTCAGTTTGACCTTTAATGTCTTTATTTCTCCCACATTTCCATCCAGGATTATCTCCAGTATCTTTGTTTTCTTGTACTGGGTGCTCTAGTTCTGAACCCTCTCAAATTTGGTCTAAGCAAACACATTTAGGAGCAAAATTGTCTTTGAGGTGCAAAATGTGTCCCTGGGCTTGGGCAAGTGGCAGCTGGGAGCACAAGGGCAACCCCTGGGCTCTCAGAACTCCAAGTTAGTTCTTTTCTTTTCCTTCTATGGTTGCAATGTGGTTTTTATTATAGAATTCACTTTCAGCTCAGTGCCTGTCTGCTGCACATCAGCTCAAGCAGAGACTTGCTGGAAAATCTAGAAGAGAAAGATTTGGTCACAAACGTTCCTAGAAGCGAATCAAATCCATGCAACAGATGCATTTTGTTTTCTGGATCTTTATTTAAAATACAAATCTCTTGATACTCTGATACTGAGAGTTAGTGGGAGCCTTTAATGGCTTCCCAGTGCCAGGGGGAATATGGGATGGGAGATTGGGAAGGAATTGTTCCCTAAGAGGGTGGGGAGGCCCTGGGCTGGAATTGCCAGAGCAGCTGTGGCTGCCCCTGGATCCCTGGCAGTGCCCAAGGCCAGGCTGGACACTGGGACACCCTGGGACAGTGGAGGTGTCCCTGCCATGGCAGGGGCTTGAAGAGGATGGGATTTAGGATCCCTTCCAACCCAAACCGTCCTGGGATTCTACTGCCAAACTATTGTGTCCCAACTCAAGCATTATTTGGTCTTTGCAAAGAATTTGCCTCTTGCCTGCTGCTGCCACAGCCAGAGCTGCGTGTGGCCACTTCACCTGCCTTGAAGCTTCACCTTCCCTTTGCTGAATTCAACCCCAGCTTCCATCCTTTTCTTTCCTAGAAACTTCCAGGAATTATTGCCTCAGGGTTTAGAGCTCTGCTTTCCCCATGTGTGTTTGTAACAGTCCTTTATCCTGGTGGATTTTTAGGAGCTCCCTAGTGCTTTGGGTTTTTTTTTTTCTGTACTTCATTTCCAGCTGTGGATTTGGTGCTTTGTTCCTTCCCTGGGTGCTGCAGCAGAGTCTGACCAGGACTATTCATTACAGAGCTGTTCCCCCTCCCATGAGTGACACCCACAGAACAGCTCCGAGAGTGTTAATGACCACGATAATGAACTTTTAACTCCAGCCTTGTGTTCCCCTGCAGGCGAATGTGATCAATTTAAAGACTTTCCTTTCAGCCGTGAGACTGGCTCACCAAGGCAACGACACCGGCGTCCTCCCTCTCTCACCTCTGGTCCCAGCAAAGAACTCCGACGTGGAGAAACCCAAAACCAAAATGATCATCACTTCCAGGAGGGATTATCCCCTCACCAAGAGCTTCCCTTTCTCCCTGGAGCACCTGCAGACCTCGTACTGCAAGCTGGCCAGGATCGACAGCAGGGTGCTGTGCCTGAGGAGGCTGCGCAAGCTGGACCTGAGCCACAACCACATCAAGCAGCTGCCGGCCACGCTGGGGGACCTGGTGTGCCTGCAGGAGCTCGACCTGCACGACAACCACCTGGAGGCCTTCAGCGGGGCCCTGTGCAGCTCGGGCCTGCAGAAATCCCTGCAGCTGCTGGACCTGAGCCAGAACCAGATCCAGGCGCTGCCGCTGGAGTTCTGCCAGCTGCGGGGGCTGGTGCAGCTGCGGCTGGACGACAACGCCCTGCTGCGCCTGCCCTGCCGCATCGGGCAGCTCAGCCGCCTGCGCTTCCTGTCGGCCGCGCGCAACAAGCTGCCCTTCCTGCCCTGGGACTTCAGGAACCTCTCCCTGGAGAACCTGGACCTCTTTGGGAACCCCTTCGAGCAGCCCAACCCGCTGGTTCCCAACATCCAGCTGAAGATCCCCCTGACTCTGCTGGAGTGTGCTGCCAGGGCCACGGTCAATCACAGGTAAGGGCAGAGAGGCACACCTGGCACTGCTCCTTCACGCCTGCCTCCCTCACCTGCTTCCCTCCTTTCCCCTCAGTGCCTGCTTTTGTTGTCATTACATTGCAAGGGTTCCATATTGCCGGAGTTTGGTACCTCCTTGATGTTTCTCATGGGCAGCTCCTCCAGGCACTGACTCTTCCTTGTCCTCACAGCACCCAGCTGACTCCAGCTCCCCTCAGCCAACCACTCCACCCTTGTATAACACTCTTCTTACTGGCTACAGCTGTGGCCTGTTAACATCAGGCCTGCTCCTAATCTTTAATAATCAACCCAGCTGCAACTCTTTAGGGGGTAAGATTGCTTTCTATACTACCTTTATTTACTTCTATTCTATCCCCCTACATGCTTTACCTATTAACTTCATGACATGAAAATTCCTTTGAATTCCCCTTGTGAAGTCATCAGGATAAGGCAGGGAATTGGAAGCCTTTGGAAGCATTTAAGGAAAGGCAGAGATTGAATCATTTTCATCCACCAAAGGGGGATGAACAGAATATTTTTGACCAACTTTGGGAAAAGAGAATCAGTTCTACAACCCTGGGCCACTTCTTCTGCAGGCTTTCCCCTGCCATAGGTTTTCCTTAAGCTCCTCATTTCCCTTGGTGTTGGAGTGAGGGTGTTCTGACTTACTCAGAGAGCCCCGCTCTTAGGTAATTTAAAAAAATATTATTTCACCAAGTAAATCCCACCCTCCCAGGCTGCTGTTTGTTATCAGATCTCTCCTCTTCCCCCATGCCTGGTCCTTCGTGTCCCAGGAGCCTCCAGGTACCAGCAGCTGCTGCTCCCACCCTGCTCTGGGGGGGAAGGGAGCACAAAAACAGAGATTTGGCACAGGAAGAGAGGAGAGAGAGGCTGGAAGTGTTCCTGATCTTCATCCTGTGCCCATTCCTGCCTTGAGGGTGGGCAGTGCCCCATAAACCAGGGGTAATTGTGCAGAAATTTGCACCAAAGGCATCCACAGGCACACCCTGAAGGGAGCTGAGCCACCACATGTTCTGGCCAAATCACCCACTGCTGACCTTGCTGATTCTGTAATTAAACCCCACATGTCTCCTTTCCCAACTTTATATAAATTGCAGTGGGTTTGAGGTAAATATTAAGGCTTTTTTCTACTTCTAGAAATCCCTCAGCACTGGTGAGATTTCAGTTACTGTAAAAACCTTGAGAAAGGGATGAAACAGGACAAGGTGCAAAAATAATGTTTGAAAATCAGTCTTCATTCTGGGAAAGTACCAGACTTCTTGATTATGTTTTTCCCAGAAAAAAAAAAAAAGGGTGTTCTGAAATTAAGGTGGTGAAAAAGAAAACCCAGAGGAGTCTTAGCTGTGTGGAAAGATTTGGGAAGGTGGAGGTGGAGGCAGGATGTGAGTCAGTGGGATCTGTGCTGAGTCTGGAGTGCCAGCTGGGCAGTGCTGAGCCCCACACCTCAGCCACCCCGACAGAATTCCTCAGGGGAGTTACTGACTGTACCCCAAGCTCCTCTGTGAATTCCAAAAGCAGCAATTCCCCTTCCCAACTCTGGGTGTCATTGCTGACACGGCGGATGGAGAGAGCTGGGGAGCAGGAGAACTTTTCATTTCATGCCTGCAGGGAGGGCAGTGCTGCTGCAAAAGGCTCCGTTCATCTCTCCTGCTTTCTCTGAGTTGTGTTTTAGCACTGCTGCTCCTCGGTGTGAGAGGGAGGAGTAAATGGTGGGTGCTGTGTCAGGCACAGAGGGTGTGAGGGAAGAACAGAACGTGCCCAGTTGTCTCATTCTTCTTAATCTTCCTTTAATTCTCTAATTCTCATTACTCTTAATCTTTCTAATTCCCTAGCTGGCTGTGGCCCAGGCTGCCAGGATTGCTGTGAGCTCCCTGCTGGAGTTCATGTCCTTAGGGCTGCCTTGGGAAGTGGCATTTCAGTCCTAAAATTGGCAATTTCATTCCTGAAATCTCAGGAAGTGGCATTTCAGTCCCAAATCTGTGGTTTTTCATGTCTGTGTGATGCCTGGAGAGGCTCCCTGGAACAGAGCTGGGCAGAGTTCAAGGAATAAAGCAGGGATTTATTAAAAGGCCTCACAGGACACACCTTGGGCAGTGCAAGAGCCCAGCCAGGGCTACACCCAAGATGGACTCTGAGTCACAAGTTTTCACACTTTTATAAGTTTTGGTCCCTTTCCATGTTGGGGTTCAGTGTCCAATTCCAGCTCCAGGTGATGCAGTCCCACCCTCCCAGATTGCTCTCCTCAATTCCCTGGTTTTACACTTCTTGGGCCTGAAGCTGCAGTGATGTCCTTGGTTCTGGGGCTGGAAAAGGATTGAGTGCCTGAGGAAAGGATTGTTCTGTGTGCCTGAGGAGAGGAAAGGATTGTTCTGTGGGAAAAGGACTGTTCTGTGGGACTGAGCTGTGAGGAGAGCTGCTAACACCTTATGTGAAGTTCAGAGTTACATATGTGTGTGTGTATGACATATTTTATGAGTATATAATACACATATATTATATGTGTGTATATGTGTGTGTGTGTGTGTATGTTACTGACATATTTTCTGAAAAATCCCTTTGCCAGGATTTTTCTTCTGAGAAGCCTCAGAAAAGAAATGTCAACAATAATTATCTGATTGCTTGGAATGTGGTTTGGAGGTCGCTTACCAACAGGTGCATCTTTGATTGGTTCAGTGTGAATTGTTTTTAATTAATGACAAATCCCAGTCCAGCTGTGTCAGCACTCTGGTCAGTCATAGGGTTTTTATTAACATTTCTTTTCTAGCCTTCTGATGTCTCTTTAGTATAGTTTTGGTATATCATTTTCATGTAATATAATATAACAATATAACACAACACAATATAACATAATATAACATAGTATAATATAGTATAACATAATGTAACAATATAACATAATATAACATAATACAACATAATATAACAGATATGATATAATATAGTATAATAATATAATATATATTATAATATAATATATAATAATATAACATAAAATTAACATAATATAACAGATATTATATTATATAATATGATATACGAGATATAATATAATAATATATAATAATATATCAGCCTTCTGAGAACTTAGAGGCAGTTCTCATCTCTCACCTCTTCCTGAGGACCTCACAACACCTCAACAATTAATAACCACATGTATATATTTTTTAATATGTATATAAATACATATATATAAAAATATATGTGTATATATATATACACATATGTAAATATATATACATATATTTATGTGTGTATATATAGATAGATGTGTATATATATAAAATATATACATTTAGATAAATATATTTTATATATATATCGATATAGAGATATATATATATTTTATAGATATAGATATAGATATAGATATATATCAATAGATATATAGATATCTGTATATATATATGTATATATATATATATGTGTGTGTATATGTGTGTATATATATATATATATATATATATATATATATATATATATATATATACTCAGCAGTGCAGAGTCTGGAAAACATGCAAGCTGAACCTGGAGTCATTGTGTGTCCTGGGAGTGGCTGGTGCCTGTGTGCTGTCCCTGCCTTTGAGTGACCCAGCTCCCTCTGTGCCGAGCTCACCCCGTCTCCTCCCGTCCCACAGGATCCCCTATGGCTGCCACCTGCTCCCTTCCCACCTGTGCAGGGATCTGGAGGTGGCCAAGACGTGTCGGTGCGGCAGCGCCTGCCTGAGCAGCTTCATCCAGATCACGGTGACCATGAACCTGCACCACGTGGCGCACACCGTGGTGCTCGTGGACAACATGGGCGGCACCGACGCGCCCGTGCTCTGCTACTTCTGCTCCCTGCACTGCTACTCCCAGTTCCTGGACAGGCACCTCCAGAGCCACGGCTGATACCGGCCAGGACGGGCTGCCTGGCCATGGAGGAGCCTGGAGGTGGCACCTGCGGTGTCACCAGAGCTCCCTAGGGGACAAATCCCTCTGGGAGGGAGGGGACACGGACTGGCCTGGCCTGGCTTAGCTCTTCTCCTGCTCTGGGAGGGAGGGGACACGGCCTGGCCTGGCCTGGCTCTTCTCCTGCTCTGGGAAGGAGGGGACACGGCCTGGCCTTGCCTGGCTCTTCTGCCCCTCTGGGAGGGAGGGGACACAGCCTGACCTGGCCTGGCCTGGCTCTTCTGCCCCTCTGGGAGGGAGGGTACACGGCCTGGCCTGGCTCTTCTGCCCCTCTGGGAGGGTGGGGACACAGCCTGGCCTGGCCTGGCTCTTCTGCCCCTTTGGGAGGGAGGGGACACAGCCTGGCCTGGCCTGGCTCTTCTGCCCCTTTGGGAGGGAGGGGACACAGCCTGGCCTGGCCTGGCTCTTCTGCCCCTTTGGGAGGGAGGGAGGGGACATGGCCTGACCCGGCCTGGCCTGCCCTCCTCCCCCTCTGGAATCTCCTCTGCCTGGAGCACAAGGCAGTGTTGAGCTGGAGAGAACCTTCCTTGGAATGTATTTCCCTTTTCCTGCGTGCTCGGGGCTTTCTGGGTTTGTGGGTAAGTGGTTCCTTCTTGGAAGGACAAAGGGAATTTGAATTTATCCCAGATTTCCCCACGTGAGCTCTGAGCTCTGCCAGGGCCAGCACTGCACTCCCCTCTTGCCAGTGGAGGAGAAATCACATCCAGAGCAGTTGTGGAATCCCAGGTGCTTCTTTTTTTAAAGGTTCTGTTACAACATTCCCACTCGGAGCAGGGACCAGCATTGCTGGGTTTTTACCAGAGCAAATGTTTGTTTTTGGGGTTTCTCTCTTTGTGATACCAGAAATGTCTTTTTTCTAAATATGTGCCTGAAACTTTGTTTCTTAATCCTCCTGTTTTAACCATTCTGGAATTTGTTTCACTGTGTTGACTGATTAAATTTTGAAAGCCTTCCATGCACGTGTGGATTGTGTTTTGTCTGAGGGGTTTTCCATCCAGTGTACTCCAGGAATTAACTGCTGGTATTTTTCTGGGGATGACACCAAAATGTTGAACATATCCACAGATCCTTTATTTCCTATCTTGTCAGCTGCTCCATGACTGGGAGATGGGAACAGCAGGGAACAAATACTTGTGATTCTAGAATTAATTAATCTGAATTTTTTTAATTCTTACCGTTCAAGAATGGGTTCATAATCCTAACCTTTCAAATCTAGAATTATTTTGAGAAGTTTTTAGGAATCCCATTCCCTGGAAGATGTGATGGCTTGGAACACACTGAGTGCCAGCTGGGGGAGGTTTAGTTTGGATTTTGGGAAAATTTCTCCATGGAAAGGGGGGTTTAGCATGGGGCACTGATGGAGTCCCCATCCCTGCAGGGATCTGGGACGGTTTCCTTGTCTTCTTCTTGCAATTCTGGAATTATTTTACTCTTACATTAATGTTGAAAACTTTGGAGTCATTTTATACTTGTGACTCTAGAATTAATTAATCTGATTTTTTTAATTCTTACCATTCAAGAATGGGTTCATAATCCTAATCGTTCAAATCTAGAATTATTTTATTTTATTCTATAAATATTAGATTTTTTTTCTCTCAATCTTAGAGTTATTTTATCTAATTCTTTCAGTCCTACAGTGATTTTACCTTATTCCTGCATTTCTAGAATGATTTCTCACCTTATTCTTGTCATTGCAATGCTTGTCATTGCTTTTTAACGTGCTGTTTTTCAAACCTAGTATTGACTTGTTTTTTATGTTACTCCCGCGGATCCCGGCTGGTTTCCGTGTGTTTTCCTCGCATTTCCAGAGTTCTTTTCCCTTTTTTCCACAATCCCGAAGGATTTCGCTGCCCCTTCCCGCCCTCCCGTCACGCCTTGGCCCCGCCCCCTCCCAGCGCCGCCCAATCAGAGCGCGGTGCGGCTGCGGCGGCTGCGCGGCCCTCCCCTCGCGGCGGAAGCGCCGAGGAGTTGATTGACGGCTCCTTCGACCAATGGCGACGCCGCGGTCGCCGCAGCGGCGGCCAATGGGGCGCGGCGACGTGTGCGCGCGGGGCGGCGGCGGCGCGCGCGCGCTGGGAGCGGGAGCGGCGGCGGCGGCGGCGGGAGCGGCGGAGCGGGGCCGCCGCCGCCGGGACGATGCGGCTGCGCGTCTACAAGCGCAAGGTGCTGCTGCTGGCGCTGGCGCTGGCGCTCTGCGCCTTGGCGCTCTGGGGCACCGGCGGCGGCGGGCGGCGGCGGCAGCAGCAGCAGCTGCAGCAGCAGCAGCAGCAGCAGCAGCGGGGCGGTCCCGGTAGCACCGGGGAGCCGCCGCGGCTCAGCGAGCCCCCGCCGCCGGTACCGCGCCGCCCCGCCGCCAACGCGTCGGCCGCCGTGGCGGCGGAGGTGCTGTCCGAGAACGCGACGCTGAGTTACCGCTCGCTCGTGTACCGCCTGAACTTCGACCAGCCGGTGCGGAACGCCGGGCGCTTCCCGGCGCGGCCCGACGTGGTGCTCGTGGTGCAGGTGCACGACCGCGCCGAGCACCTGCGGCTGCTGCTCGAGTCGCTGCGGCGGGCGCCGGGCGTGGAGAACGTGTTCCTGGTGCTGAGCCACGACCTGTGGGCCGAGGAGCTGAACCGGCTGGCGGCCCGCGTGGACTTCTGCCCGGTGCTGCAGGTGTTCTTCCCGTTCAGCATCCAGCTGTACCCGCGCGAGTTCCCGGGCCACGACCCCCGCGACTGCCCCCGCGACGTGGGCAAGGCGGCGGCGCTGCGGCTGGGCTGCATCAACGCCGAGTTCCCGGACTCGTTCGGGCACTACCGCGAGGCGCGCTTCGCGCAGACCAAGCACCACTGGTGGTGGAAGCTGCACTTCGTGTGGGAGCGCGTGCGGGCGCTGCGGGAGCACGCGGGGCCCGTGCTCTTCCTGGAGGAGGATCATTACCTGGCCCCCGACTTCTACCACGTCCTCAAGCGGCTCTGGGCGCTGCGCCAGCGGGAGTGCCCCGAGTGCCAGCTCGTGTCGCTGGGCACCTACAGCCCCGTGCGGGGCGGCTTCGCCGGCCGCGCCGACAAGGTGGAGATGAAGACGTGGAAGTCCACGGAGCACAACATGGGCATGGCCTTCGGCAGAGACACCTACCAGAAGCTCATCGAGTGCACGGACGCCTTCTGCACCTACGATGACTACAACTGGGACTGGACTCTGCAGCACTTGACTGTCTCTTGTCTTCCAAAGTTCTGGAAAGTGCTGGTTCCCGAAATCCCCAGGATTTTTCACACGGGGGACTGTGGCATGCACCACAAGAAATCCTGCAGACCGTCCACCCAGAGTGCCAAAATCGACTCTCTCTTGAACAGCAACCAACAGTACCTGTTTCCCGAGGCGATGAGTGTCAGTAAAAGGTACTCCATGGCTCCCCTGTCCCCTCACGTCAAGAACGGAGGGTGGGGAGACATCAGGGACCACGAACTCTGTAAGAGCTACCGCAGACTCCAGTGAGGATCCTCCTCGCAGCGCCTTTTCTCCTTGACTTGTTCCATTGTGTCCTTTGCAGGCACACACGTGTATAAACAGCATTTATGAGTTGGTTTCTGCTTTAATATGAATAAACATTCTTGTTAAAGGTGTCCCAAAATAGTAATCTCTCATGTTTGGCAACCACGTTTTGGAAACGGGTGATGTGCTGCAGCCCCTACGCAAAAAGTGACCTGCTGCTGTGTTTGCTGGGAGGAGGAGGAGGAGGAGGAGGAGGAGGAGGAGGAGGAGAACACTTTTTAAGTGCATCTTTTTTGGTGCTTCAAAGCTCTGGTGGTGCCTGGGGTCCCACCCAGGGTCATCCCACGCCTGATCCCCGAGTCCCGGTTCGGTTGCGCCGTGTCGATGAATATATGAAGGATGAAAAGAAAATAAATCTCATTGTTTTTACTACGATGTAGATAAATATATGATTTTTTTAGTTCTGCCGAAATAAAAAATTCCGTTGTTTTGTATGCCTAGAGGAGTTCTTGTTGTCAGCAAAAAGGTGATGTCACCTCGTGTTCCTAAAAAGTCAGGATGGGAAGGAGGGGGGAGTTTCTCTTCTTTAATCCCGAGGGCTGGACCTGTGCCATCACTCCTTCCAGCAGTGTGCATTTAACTTCATTACATTTTTAATGATAGTCATTAATTGAGGCAGGAAAGGGTAGCAAATTGGTGGCACAACACCTCTTTTGTTTGGATTTTTTTTTTTTAAAAAGTTGTTTCAAATTAGCTGTGTGAGAACTGCTGCAGTGTGGTGGGAGTGGGGGCCATGGAGCCATCTGTGAATGCTCCAGCAGCTTCAGTGCCACTCCTCTGTGAACTCAGCTGTGGCAGAAGCACCTCAGCAGCTTTTGTAGAACACAGAAATATGTCAGAGAAAGAAAATGCTGCTTTTTTTCTTTTTCCAGGGGTTATTTAACCACAATTTTGCAAAGTAACTGCTCCGTGTTCTGTTCCACGGGGTTGGAGCTGTGCTGGAGCCTCACCCTCGGAGGCCTCTCCCAAAAAGCTGAGGGGGTTAAGCTGAGCCCAGCAAAGCTCCAGCAGGATGTGCCACCAGGGAGGGCAGGGCAGGTGTTCTGGGCAGCTGTGGCTGCTGCTGAACTCTGAAACCACACACACAAACTGGAATGTGACAGCAGTGCCAGAGCAGCCCTGAAACCAGGCAAAATTAACTCTCCTCTAAAGCACCTCTCAAACTAAAACAGAAGTTGGTTCAGCAGCAGTGAGAAAGGGGAACAGGAAGTTTATTATTAGATGTGTTCTCCGGGTTATTCTGCTTTAGGGAGGTGAGAAACGCTGACACTCGAGGGAAACTGAGAAAAATAAATCTAATCTGGCTAAAGAGAATCCATTTCACCAGTTGTAAATACTTCAGAGCAGACATGCACCCAGAGGATGTTCTTGTGCAATGGAATTTGTTCAGCTGGGGGATATCTGGGTGCTGCAGATCTGAAACACAGCACTAGGATGGAATACAGGGTATAAATGTTGATTATTTCTAGGAGACTAATTAGAACTTCTCTGGGTAATTAGAAATTTCATTTGATTGCTAAGAATCACTGTGAGTCTAATCCTGCAGTTATCACAAAATGAAAGGTTTGGAAAATGATGACTACTGCTCAATTCCCCAGGGAGCCATTAGACTGAGGATATATACAAATAATCCCTGAAACGTGGGAAGAGAATAAAAAATTTATGTAAACAATAAAGATACATTTTTTTTTCCAGGAGCTCAGAGTCACCTCCAACTGCAACTCTTCTTACAAGTAAAATTATTGCAACAAATTGGGGAATTGATAAACTGTTAACCACGGAAAGTTTTGGTGTTGCACCAGTTTCAGTGGGAACCCATGGCCTCCATGTCACCCACCAGCACATGGAAGTCAGAACAAGCATCAAACAAGAGAAGGAAACTCTAAAACAATGAAATCAGTCCAGCTGGTAGAGCAGGGAGCTGTGGAACTGCACGGGGCAGTGCGTGCGGTGATCGCTCAGGATGCGCTCGCTGCCGTCCTCGGGGTTCACCTCCCTCAGGATGGGGCACCCTGCCCCATCTCCATCCCCATGGAAGTCAGAACAAGCATCAAACAAGGAGGGAAATGATAAAACAATGAAATCAGTCCAGCTGGTAGAGCAGGGAGCTGTGGAAGTGCAGGGGGCAGTGCGTGCGGTGATCGCTCAGGATGCGCTCGCTGCCGTCCTCGGGGTTCACCTCCCGCAGGATGGGGCACCCTGCCCCATGCCCATCCCCATGCCCATGCCCATGCCCAGCCCCGTCCCCACCCCCCTGCCGCTCTCCTGCTGCTCCCGGGGCTGTGGCTGTGCCTCCTGCTGCAGCAGCACTTTCTAAATCGGGCTCGGTTCTCTCAGATCCGCCGGGAGCGGCTGAGCTGGAGGCAGGAGGTTCAGGCTGCAAACAATGGGGTGAAGCACAGCCGGCTGCTGTTCCCATTGTTCCCGCTCTGGGAGCCGGGCTGGCTCCTGCTGCACCTCCCTCGGCTGCAGGACACTTTGTTTCTGCCTTTGTTTCGGGGTGGTTGCTGTCGGTCTGTCCAGCAAGGGCTCCCCCCGAGCTGCCAAGAGTTCCTCGTCCATCACGTTCCTGTGGCTGTCAAGGAAATAAATGAATTATTTCATAGCTGGAACAAACTGTGCACACAAAGACAGGAGAGGTTTGTTTGTCCAACAGCTCAGCTCCACTGGGATAGTGGAAAGTGTCCCTTTGGAAGCAGATGATCCTTGAGGTTCCAAACCAGGTTGTGATTCCGTGATTCTCCTTGCAGAGCAGGTGCTGAGGTTTTCCTGCCCTTGTCTGGTGTGTGGGAATGAGGGGCAGGGAGCCCCTTCTGCTTCCCCAGGGTTTCCTGCTTTCCTTTTCAGCAGCAGCCACTCCCCACACCCAGCCTGATCCCAAATCCCCAAATCCCCAAATCCCAGAGGCCACAGAATCAGCCAGGAGATCTCAGCTCCTGCTGCAAGGTTGGAGCTTTGCAGTTAGGGAAATTCCTGGCCTGTGGGGCTAATCTGGGAATTGCAGTTTGCCTTGGGAGAGCAGGAGCTGGGAGAGGTGCTGAACAACCATTTCACCATTACTGGGAGTTTTGGCAAAGAGCTGCTGGTAATTCACAGGTCCCTGGCAGTGGAGAGTCAGGATCAGGCAGGACCCATCCAAGAGCAGCTGGTTCATGGATCCAGGGACAGAGCCTCTTCCTAACACCCCCAAACCACAGGAAACCTGGGAAACACCAGTGAGTCCTTCCCAAACTGGACAGTTCTCCCACAGGAACATGAGCATGAGCTGGAAGGGACCCTCAGGAATCTCCAGCTCTGTGCTGGAGTTTGTATCAATGGGATGGGACTGCTGGGATGTGGGGTTTGAGTTTTATTGTGCTATTAGTCTTATGATATGGTTGAGATAATTGAAAGATGGTAATAGTTTATATCTTGTTAGTAGTAAAGATTTTTCTGTTACAGAACATTTTAAAAACTTTCTAGCCAATAGCATATTAAACATATTTTTTCTACAATCTTAAAATCTATCTTAACCAAATCTAAAACTCAAACTATTATTTCATATCCTTACTTACTACACTATTACAACTTTTCTACTTTCCAACTAACTCTAAATTTCTACTCTTTCTATTTTTAAAGCCTGCTTTCACAACTTCCTAAAAACCTCCTCACCTTTACTGTACTTCCCACAAACTCAGCTCCTGGCCCCACACAGGAGCAGGAATGGGATCATTTAAAGTCTCTCAGCTGCCCTAAGGTCCCCAAAGGGACTCATCTGCTCTCCAACATTTAGAATTTCATTTTTTTGTGTCCAGCAGCCCAGAGCAGCTGTGAAAGCTGAACTGGCTCCAGTGTCTTTGGGAAGCTGCTCGTGCTCCAGCCCAGTTCCAGAGGTCATGTTCTTCCTGTGAACGTGGCTCCCAGTAACCCAGCCACACATTAACCCCAGCTGAGCCCCCAGTCCAGGCCCACAGCAGGGACCTGCTTCTTCCTGCCTTTTATCTTCCCTTTAGGAAGAGTTTTATCTGAATTTTGGATGCAGTGCCTACCCAGGAATCCCAGTGAACGTGGGGGGGTTTATCTCACACTTTCCTCCTCACAAAATGAACATTTTGATTTCTTCATCTGCCCATCTATTTTGCCAAGGGAGGATGATTTAATCCCGTGGCAGATCCCAGAAACAGCCTGGCTTGTTCTAGGCAGAGGAAGGAGAGCCTGAATGAGGCCTCAGACTACAAGGATTGAATTTGAGACCAGTGTTTAAGATTAATAGCCTCATGTTTAATTATCTACACAACAGGAACCCACCAAGTATTCCAATACATGGACTGAATAAAGATGAGGCAGGATTCTTCCCAGACAAAACCCTCCAGGATTTCTCTACCTGTACAAGGCTGAGTGGGTGAGCTATCACTGCAAGGAAAAATCACTTTTTAAATGTCTGGAGCACAGTTCTGCACCTTCCAAATGAAACAGAGGAGGTTTCAATCCTTGGGTGACATGAAATGGCACGAACACAAGTTTTACTTCTGAAAACTGACATTTACACTTGCAAATAACCCCAGTGCTGGGCTTCCCCAGGACAAAACAGGAACAAAGCTGTTTCAGTGGGGTTTGATAGGATCTTTCAGAAGAACATAAATCAGCCTGGGCTGCTCCTGGGTCCTTACCTCCACCCTGATTTGAATTCTGTTCTCAGTAACATCCAGCACTTCAATTAATGGCTGCCTTTCCAGGGCTGATTGGGAGCAAGGGGAAGGGCACAAAGCAGTGCCTAGAAATCCATCAACGTTCTCCTCACTGACAAACAACCTCTCCTAAAGAAAAAGAGAGAAAACAGCAGGTTATGTTCTTTTTGTGCCACACTTCAGGGGTACTGGGGCTAAAAACCCCCTGCAAAGAAAGCCAGGACAGCAATTCCCAAGTTTCACAGCACACTCAAGCCTTGACGGAGAAATTCTAAGCCAGACATTCAAAGAATGAGGTGAAATGAATTCAAACCAGTGCTTAGCTAATTTTGAAAGTACAAACCTGCATGGTATCAAATATAAGGGAACTATTTCTCTCTCTGGATGGGTGACTAACACAGAGATGCAGACTCTCTCTGGAAAATGATTTGTTGTCCCAGCCTCGTTGCACCTTCCCCACCTGTGTGAGCAGCAGGAAGGTGTCAGACTGCTGGGGGTTTGTCTCTGGCTGCCTGCAGGAGAACACAAACACCTCCTTGGAGAGGCACTGCGGGATCCTCGCTCCAGGATCAGATCTGGAGCACCCAGGGCTGGATCCATTTCACACCCAGCCACGGAGGCTGCTCTGATCTCCGTGCAGACAAGCCACTTGGAAAAACAAACAAAACAAAAGCAAGAAAAGGAGAGGTATCCACAGGCAGAGACACAGCCTGGGGTGCGTTTCCAGGCTGCTCATAAATAACCTCAAACGTGTTGCAACGGGTTCAGAGATTTACATCAGTTACAGGTAATTAAAGGTCCTCAAATATATCCTGGAGGGGCTGTTTGATAGGAACTGCAGAGCCTTCCCTGTCCTTGTGTTATTCACACATCATCTGTGCAGGCTGAGGGCAAGGACAGACAAAATCCAAATGGTCTGACCTAGAGGGGCAGCTTAGATTCTGGGAATTACCTTCCTTATTTAATTGGAAATAACAGGGACAAGTTGCAAACCTTCCACATTAAGTCACACTTTTAAATTTCTCGGTCCAGTTCAACCTTCCTGTCAATCCAATGAAAGTTAAATTCAATTATCGCTGACATCTTGCAGACCAAGAAGCAAAAAGGCAATTCTGCACATTTTTGGCCCCCTGTGGATGGAGCCTTATGCACAGCCAGATGTCACATTGTGTCTGAGGTACAAAATTTCACTGTCATCTTGAAAAAAAAACAAAAAAAACCAAACAAGGATTGGAAAAATCAGCCAGAGTCCTATTTTTTCCACTAGTTAAATTAGAAATCACAATATGGAAAGTCATAACACACGAACTGTTGGTTTTCCAAGGCAGAGGATTGGATTCATTTTCTATCCAGCAAGATTACAATCCAGGCAAGGAGCCAGCACTGGATGCTGGGATGGTTTGGGGAGAGATTAAAGTGCAGCAGAGCTGCCCTGACTGAAAACCCTCTCAGAACATCCCTGCTTCTTGCATTTCTGCATGCAAAGCCTGAAAATTCTTATTCCCTGGTGCTGCATCCTCTGCTGCCTGCCAGAGAGGGATCAGCCAGAGCTTCAGGCTGTGGGAAAGCTCTGCAGAGGCCAGGGGAAGGTGTCAGAGCAAGGCAGGGGCTGCAGACACAAAATCTGTGCAGCACACAACTCCCACAGGCTCCTGAACGCCAGCCCTGGGCAGCTCACGAGGAGAATTCCCAGCTCTGCCCTGGATTTTGGCCCACAGAGCCCAGCTCAGCCTCCTGGAGGAGATTTGGGATTTTGGTGCCTGCACTGCCAAGGAGAGCAAAGCACAACCCTCCTCAGAAAGAGGAGAAAAATCAAATTTTTCTCCCAGCAGAAAAATGGAAGCCAGGGAATCACAGCATGGTTTGGTTGGAGGGAACCTCACAGCTCAGCTCATTCCTACCCCTGCCATGGGATGGATTTCAGGACCTTTCATTACCTTCCACTAGACCAGGCTGCACCAAGTCCCATCCTACTTTTCCTCCACAAAATGAGGAAAATAATCTCTTTTCCCTCTGAGTCTGCCTCTGGCACCCGTGGCTGTGTGAGGGACACCCTCTCCTCCCCAGAGCAATCAGGACTTTGCAATTTGGATACAAACGCCCTGAATCTTTCTGGAGAAATTCTTCCTGATTAAAAGCAAAAGAATTTGTTTTCTTCACAGAAAATACAGTTAAAAAAGAAGACCTGAATGGGAGGTCTATTATCAGGAAAGGTTCCTCCCTCAGAGGGTGCTGGCACTGCCCAGGCTCCCCAGGGAATGGGCACAGCCCCAGAGCTGCAGGAGCTGCCAGGGATGCCCAGGGTGGGAGTGTTGGGGCTCTGGGCAGGGCAGGGGCTGCCCTGGATGATCTCTTTGATTCCATAATGATTTCATAATTCTGTGATTAATCAGTGCTTCAAAGGAGGGTTAAAAGGAACCCCTTGTGCTGTCGCTCCGTTAATTCTGACTCACTGCACAAACCAATCTTACCAAGTTTCACCCCAGCCCAGCACTGAATTCCCAGAAGTATTTACCATTTCATCCCATCCCCACCCCATGGCCTGCCATAAATCATGGCCCTGGGGTGTGTTTGTTGTCAGGAAGGTGATTCTCATTAGCCTGCTCCACCAGGCACTGGAACTCAGACTTTGCATTCACGGGGAGCACTCACCGAGCCATTTATATTACTGCAGATGTTATCAGAGCACAGACCTTGGAAAAAAATGATCCAGGAATTTATTCTAAAGCCTGCTCTGCCTTCCAAGCCAGAGCAAACAGAGGACAACCATCTGCAGCTGATTTCAATGACCCTGTAAAATAATTCTTCAATTTAAGCCGTTTATTTTCTGGTATTTATGATGCTCTCTTAGCAACTTCGAATTTAATTTGTTTTTCCCTGCACACACTGTCATCTGCTGTTTGGTACACATTCATTCTTCCCTGTGACTAAACTGAGACCAAATTAACATAAACCTTAGCAGGGATGACTTTGGTTTCTGGAACATTCATCATTCAAACCCGTCCCCGTGTCTCCCAGCACTGGGAGCTCCCCTCCCGGCTGCCCCCAGCTCTCAGATGGGCTCATTCTGCTTTCATTTCTCACACTGAAGACACTTTCCATCCAGAGTTACCTCCCACACAGCCTGCAAGTTTGAAAAGCAGGACAGATTTCAAGCTTAAATTATTTTGGTGGTTCCTGTAATGAGTGGATCAGGGAATCTCAGCATGGGTTGGGTTGGGAGGGGATTTAAATCCCATAGAATTCCAACCCTTCCACTGTCCCAGGCTGCTCCAAACCCCATCCAAGCTGGCTTTGGGCACTTCCAGGGATGGGGCAACCACAACCTCCCTCATCCAAACCCAACAACTGATGGGAAAGGACCTGGATTTCCTGACCTCTGCATTTGTGGGATCCCAGCACAAAGCAGCTCTGAGAGCTGAGAATTTGAAAGTACCCGGAGTGAAATGAAAACTTTTCTGAGGTGCTCATGACTGCAAAGATGAAACAGCTCCAAAGAAGCTTTGATGAGCTTCATCAGCAGGTTAATAATGTTTCCTGACATAACTGTTTTGTGTAGTCATGGTATTCCCAAAATGCAGCTACCAATTAAAGACTATTCAGAAATTAGTTTGTTTTATAGCAGAAGCAAACTAATTATGGTCCTTAATGTAGCTTGGGAAAGGGATTACTTTGAAAAATGTGAAATAATAAGTTTGTTGTGTTCTCCTTCTTTGTCCTTCTCTGACCTCCCAAAAAAACTTGCCAAGAGTCTTGAAATGCTGAGCACAGAATTAACTGAACCAAAAATAAACTGTTGGAGGATTACATTCAACAGCCCCAGTTTCCAGCAGCATCTTCTTAGAAGTAACCCCTGACTATTACAATAAGTCTTTATAGTAGCTTGGAAATGGAAAATTATAAACTCCAAATAGCTTGGAAATGAGAGCAAAGCAGCTCTCCAGGATGGATTTCTCCATGAAAGGTGGGGAAGGTTTAAAACATCCATGTCTGACACGTCCCAACACAGCTCTCAAGGCTGCATGCTTGGCTGACTCTCCAACCAAGGAACACTTTCATCCACAAGAGCCCAAATTCTGAGCACAGCAGGAACAAAAGGACAGCCCAGCATGGCCCAAGGGGACATTTCCAGCCCTTGGGGACATTTCCAGCCCTTGGGGACACATCCAGCCCTTGGGGGCACTTCCAGTCCTTGGCCTTTTCCACATGGTCCCAGTGCCAGGAGCAACAGAACTCTGGCACCTCCAGCCCCACACAAGGGAAATGTAGCTGGGATTTTGGGAATTGGGAATTCCTGGCTGGGAGGGTGGGCAGGCCCTGGCACAGGTGCCCAGAGCAGCTGTGGCTGCCCCTGCATCCCTGGCAGTGCCGAAGGCCAGGCTGGATCAGCCCAGATCACCTGACCAGGCCTCAGCCTCCTCTAGGGGCACTTATCCCAGAATCCCAGAATGGTTTGGATGGGAAGGGAACTTAAATCCCACCCAGTGCCACCCCTGGGACACCTCCCACTGTCCCAGGGTGTCCCAGTGTCCAGCCTGGCCTTGGGCACTGCCAGGGATCCAGGGGCAGCCACAGCTGCTCTGGCAATTCCAGCCCAGCCAGGAATTCCCAATTCCCAATCTCCCACCCATCCCTGCCCTCTGGCACTGGCAGCCATTCCCTGGCTCCTGTCCCTCCATCCCTTGTCCCCAGTCCCTCTCCAGCTCTCCTGGAGCCCCTCCAGGCCCTGCCAGGGGCTCTGAGCTCTCCCTGGAGCCTTCTCCTCTCCAGGGAACATTCCTAGCTCTCCCAGCCTGGCTCCAGCCCTTGGAGCAGCTCTGTGGCCTCTCTGGACTTGCTCCAACAGCTCCACATTTTTTTTTTACCAGCTGCTTTCTGAAGGAAAAAGCACCAGGAGCCTCCAAAGGGTCTCCTTCCCAAGGCACTGGGGGCTGTGCCCAGCAGAAAAATCACACCCATGTGGAACATCCTGCATGGAGGCCTCAACACTCCCAGAAAAGTTAAACAAAACTTCCCCTATCTCTGAGCAATTCCCATTTGGATCCCTCACACACGGCCTAACTCAGAGCCAGCTCCAACCATGAGCTCCTCAGGAATGTTCAATATAATCTTTTTCAGACTGTAAATGTGAAAAAAAAAAAAAAAAATAAATAAAGCAATGCATAGGAAAGGAGAGGAAATATTTCCTCTGTTTTCCTCTGCTCCCTGCTGCTCTCTGGAGCCCCGGGGGGGTTTGTGTGAGTTAAATTTGAATATTCTCCACAAGATCTGAAGGGGGCTTTTAGGAAAGGGATGGGCTGGCTGCAATTCCCTGCCCAGCACGGGGGGAATGGCCAGAGGAATGAGCACACATCCTCTGAACAAACCCACTGCAGGCCCCTGAGAAGGGCAGGAAGGGTGGGGATCAGCCCAAACGGGAATTCCTGCACGAACCAGGCTTTTTCTAATCCCGTGAAAACGAGCAGACACGACCCCAAAACTGCAGAATTCACTCCCTGCCAGCTGTGTTTCACATGCTCCAAGAAGTGAGCCCCCAAGTCTGAGCAGCTCAATACACCCCCAGAAAACTGCTTTTTATTTCTGTTAGGAATGGAGCATTTAACCCCAGCAGGCCAAACATTCCCAGACATTCCAAGTGCTTTCCAAAGGCACAATTTCCATAATTGCCCAGCTCCAGCACTACCATAAACCAGGACACACTGGGACGTGTTCTCAGAATCCCTGCCTGGCAGGCTTACAAATTGTATTCATGGTTATTTAACTCCCAACCCTTCTCCTTCGTCATTTTCTCCCCAGGCTGTGTTGTCTGGAAATGAAAGGGAAATTCTCTGATGCAGGAGTTTCCCAAGCCTGAATTCCCAGGATTTAAGCACAAGGTGTAGAAGGTTATGGAGGGTGAACTGCAATGAAGAGTAATGGGGAGAGCACAGCCCATGGCTGGAATTTTGAGGCAAAAAGCAGAGATTTCGGCAGTGGGGAAATCAGGCAGCTTCCTCAGGTTAGGAAATTATTCCCTGGAAATAATGGGCCTGAAGAAGGATCAGCACTGTGGTCTCTGCTGCAGTGACTGAGCAGCAGGGCAGTGACAAAAGGTGGCTTTCAAACCCCTGAAATGTGTGACCCTACGCTCACAACGCTCACAGTTGTGGAATCTTTATTCTTTAGAGGATTTCTGGTCACCATAACCAGTCATGGAACCAAGAGGATGGAAAAGATCTCCGAGATCATCAAGTCCAACTTTAGCCTGGCCATTCTGCTTTGGCCAAGGAGGGAAACTGCTCACAGTGAAGGTCCAGGGAGGAGCAGGGCACTGTAGAGATTTCCTGGAAAGAGGCAGGGGTGGGAATTCCAAGTGCTCAGCATCCCTGGAAACTGAGCTCTAAATAGATCCCTCTTCCAGCACAGGGATTCAGGCACTGCTGACTGCAAAAGGAAAAGCAGCTCCTCAAGTTCTGTTTCAAGCATGGTGCTCTAAGGATGAGCCCAACTCATTCTTCTACCAGCACGTGGATCAGACCAGATTCCAAGGAGGAACTGGGATTTAATGGGAATGATCTGGGCAGGCACTACAAAGCCATCATGGCATGGAAGAGCAGCCTCTGAACTAACCCAGGGAGGGATCTGCTCCATGGAACAGCACAGCAACCCCCAGCCTCCATCAGCCTCCCAAAATGGAGCAGAGCAGGAATTCCAGTTAAAAACACTGGACAGGACTTGGAGCAACCTGGGATAGCAAAAGGAGTCCCTGCCTGTGGGAATGGTTGAGCTTTAAGATCCCTCCCAACCCAAACCAATCCATGATTCACTTTTGCCAGGCACCATCCTCTGGAGAGAGGAGAAGCAGATTGGGAGGTGCAGGATAAAATTCTTGCTCCAGGAAGAAATTCCTGCTCCAGGATAAGATTCCTGCTCCAGGATAAAATTCTTGCTCCAGGAAAAAAATCCTGCTCCAGGATAAGATTCCTGCTCCAGGATAAGATTTCTGGATCCAGGATAAAATTCCCACTCCAGAATGAAATTCCCGCTCCAGGATAAGATTCCAGATCCAGGATAAAATTCCTGTTCCAGGATGAAATTCCTCCTCCAGGATAAAATTTCTGGATCCAGGATAAAATTCCCGCTCCAGGATGAAATTCCTGCTCCAGGATGAAATTCCTGTTCCAGGATAAAATTTCTGTTCCAGGACAAGATTCCTGCTCCAGGATAAAATTCTTGCTCCAGAATGAAATTCCTGCTCCAGGATGAAATTCCTGCTCCAGGATAAGATTCCTGCTCCAGGATAAAATTCCTGCTCCAGGATCCAGGATAAAATTCCTGCTTCAGGATAAAATTTCTCCTCCAGGATGATTCCTGCTCTAGGATGAAATTCCTGCTCCAGGATGAAATTCCTGCTCCAGGATCCAGGATAAGATTCCTGCTCCAGGGTAAGATTCCTGCCCCTGGATAAAATTCCTGCTCCAGGATGAAAATCCTGCTCCAGGATGAAATTCCTGCTCCAGGATAAAATTCCTGCTCCAGGATAAGATTCCTGCTCCAGGATGAAATTCCTGCTCCAGGATAAGATTCCTGCTGGCCTCAGCCCCAAAGCTCCTTCAGGCCCTGGCACTGCTCTGCACTCTGCAGTGACTGATGTGACTCCTTACAGGTCTCAGTGCAAGAACCACAGCTCTGATTTATAGAATGAGACTCGAGGCAGGAAAACCCCCAAGGTGGCACCAGACAAATTGAAGGAATCAACTTAAGTAGAAGAAAAGCGACCAGGAACAAATGGTTAATGGCCAGAAGGCAGCAAGTAATAGTGGCTCTAATTAAATATTCATTTTTCTCCCTTCACTCTGAGCAGCTCTCAGGCACTTTGGGGAAATAGCACAGATTTAAAAAGAAAAGCAAACAGGACAAATGGCTTCAGTTTATTTCTCCTGCTTCAGTTTGCAGGCCCAGCGTCCAACAGGACTGGAGGCCAGGAGAATCTCTTGGAGTCTGCTGTGAATGAATGGCCAGGAAGCTGATGACTAATGCCCAACCTCTTTCTCCTACTCCACCCAAAACATTTTGCAATATATAATAAAATCAGCACATTCAAGGGGTTTTTGTAACTCACAAAGCCAAAAAATCTCATTACTGGGTGGCCTTTTAAAACCTTTCAATCACAAAATGTTCCTCCAACTGCAATAACAAATCCATATCCCAAACTTGTGGCCTCCACCATGCTCACCACTAACCCATGTTCTCAAGTGCCACATCCACAGGTTTTCTGAGCATTCCCAGGGATGGGGACTCCACCAGTGCCCTGGGCAGCCTCAGGACCTGCACAGAAACCAGGCAGGAGTTTACACAGTGGCTTTTTTGACGTGGCAGCAGCAGGCAGTGCCAGATCACAGCAGTGAACAGCAGCACTGAGTGTTCTGTGGCCCCACTTGCACAGACTTGCAGGCTCCTGCTCCGGTAAAAGCAAAGGAAACGCTCTGCAAACAGCTCAGCGTGGGTGGCTCTCCATAAATTCATCATCTTTGATACTTTCCCCGAAATGATCAGCTCCTCCTTCACAGGAATTGCTGCTGTAGAAGGTGTGTGGCTGCTAAATGGCAAAAACTCGACGTGGTTTCAGCTGCACAAACACTAATTGGATAAATATCTCTCAAAACCATGCACAAGCCATTTCTAGTTGGAGGGATGGAGCAATTAAGCTGCTCCAAGCCAAGTCCATCCCAGTGGATGTGCCTGAAGCCTGCCAGCTTCCTGGACGTGCAATCCCGCTGCACGTGATCCAGACTGCAGAGGATTTTATTGCTCTCAGCTCCAGCCAAACTCCAAATCCCATGGCTACAAGGCTGCACAAGAACTGTGCAGCTTTAATCCCTGCTCATGAGGAACTGTCTGCAAGTCTGAGCTCACAGAGGAACGTGGCTCTCCACAAAACTTCTCTGAGTGGCTCTGGACAAAGAGTGTCTCAAGGTGGGCATCTCTTTGGGGACACTGGATGCAGCCACCTCACTGCCTCCCACCACGGGAGCACCACTGCCCAACAACCCATAAAATCTGAAAATACTAAATTAGAATCACCTTCAGACAGAGGTGGTGAAGATTTATCCCAGCAAAGTGGGACAGCTCACAGCTGCTGCTTGCTGTTCTGCTCTGGTTGAACTAATGGGGGTTTCTGTGGCTGTAAATGGGAATTCTGTCCCAAACACAGACACAGGGACACTCCCCCTACACTTCATGGTGGTGTGTGTAAGCCTGGTGGATCATAAAGAGCTTTCTTTGTGTGAACAGGCTGCACGAGCAATTTACAGGGCTTTAAAAGTGAGCACTAAGGACATAGAGGACATAGGCACCGTTTTCATTCATCACCAGAATCTCCCTTAGAAAAAAAAATTTGTATGGGAGGCAGAAGTCGTTCCAATTCCAAGGATGAAGGTGTCAGCTCCGCGGTGTGACCTTGTACAAGACTCGCACAAATCAGGTCACGGCACTGGCATCCGGGAGCGGCTCTGGGAGGAAGCAGCAGCTCCGAGCTGCTCCTCGCACCTCCGTGAGCCAGCGCTGGCAAACAGCGGGCACACCCAGCCAGCATCGGGCAGGGACGCCCCACGCGTTACCTGCAGAGCGGAGGGCGCGGGGCCGAAGCTGAAGCTGTCCCAGAGCCCGGTGCTGCCGGGGGCCTTGGCCAGCCCCACCACGGCGTTGTGGGCAGAGATGCTGACGCTGCTCTCGGGGCTCAGCAGCGCTGCGGAGGGAGGGAAGCGCAGGAACAGGGCGAAGGCAGCGCCGTCGGTGCGGAAGCGGAGACTGTAGTGGTGGGTGCCCAAATCGCCGCGGAGGCTCTGGGGCTGAATGCCGGGCACCAGCAGGAGCAGCGTGAGGGACACCTCGTCCTGCCGGGCACGGAACGGAGGGCATGTGGCCGATTCCATGGGAGGGCCCTCGGAGGCCGGCGGAGGGGGGTCCCCGGTGGGCATGGCTGGATCGGGGATGGCGATGGGGGAAGCGGCGCCGGAGCAGGGCAGGGCCGGGGGCTCGGTGGGGGATTCTGCGGGGGGATCAGCGGCGGCGAAGGGCTCAGAGCGGGGATCAGAGGTTGGACCAGGGGCAGGTTCAGTGGGGGCTTCAGAGGTTGGATCAGCGGCGGGTTCAGTGGGGGGTTCAGCAGGAGAGTCAGCAAAGGGTTCAGAGGTTGGACCAACGGGAGGTTCAGCAGGGTGTTCAGAGGTTGGATCAGTGTCAGATTCAGAGGTTGGATCAGTGGCTGGTTCAGAGGTTGGATCAGTGGCAGATTCAGCGGGGGGTTCACAGGTTGGATCAGTAGCAGGTTCAGTAGGGGGTGCAGAAGTTGGATCAGGGCCAGGTTCAGCGGGGGAGTCAGCAAAGGGTTCAGAGGTTGGACCAACGGGAGGTTCACCCGAGAGTTCAGCGGGTGGGTCACAGAGTGGCTCTAGGGGTGGTTCAGCGAGGGGCTCGGCAGACGGAGCAGCGGGAGGATCACAAAGTGGGTCAGGATCAGCCGGGGGTTCGGTGAGCGGATCACCGGGCTCCCCGCCGCCACACGTGCCCCGGGCCGCGCCGCCAGGCCCGAGTTCCGGGGGAGGAGCCGCTCCGCCGCCCGCCTCTGCCGGCGCTGCCTCCGCCTCCGCCGGCCCCTCGGCCTCCTCCAGCCGCTCCCCGGTCGGGCCGGGCGGCAGCACCACGGGCAGCGTGACCTGCAGCTGCCGCTGGGCCCGGTTGAAGGCGGCCCGGCCGCCGCTCTCGTCCACGTCGTAGGGGAGGCGGAGGCGCAGGCGGTAGGCGGGACACTGCGAGTCCAGCCGCAGCTCCCGCCCGCGGATCTCCAGCTCCGCCTGCTCGGCGGAGCGCAGCAGCGGCAGCTCCACCGTCACCACCAGCTCCCGGGGCACCGGGCTGGGCGCTGAGTCGCGGCTGTGCCGGTAGTCCTGCAGGTCCACGTAGGAGCGGTGCCGGATGCTCCAGCGCGGCGTGGTGGGGCCGGAGGGCGGCGGGGGCGCGGCGGGCGCGGAGCCTCGGGCGGCGGCGGCGGGCGGCGGGGCGGCGGCGGGCGGGAAGGGGAAGGGCGGCAGCGGGGACTCGCCGTCGTCGGGCGGCTTCGGGGCGCCGCCGGGCAGCGGGGAGCGGATGACGGGCGCCTGCGGGATGCCCTTGTAGGAGATTCCTCGCAGGACGGCGGCGTTGTTGCGGTCCAGCCGCACCCCGCACTGGCTCTCCACGGCCTCCAGCGCCGTGTCGCGGAGCAGGCGGTGGAAGCGGGCGCTGCGGGCGGCCAGGCGCAGCGCCGCGGGGTGGAACACCACGTCGTACAGGAGGCGGCGGCGGCCGGCGGGGCGCAGCTCCTCGCGGCCCGGGGCCAGGCTGTAAGGCAGCTCCCAGCGCTGCCCGCCGCGCTCGGCGCGGGCCCGCGGCTCCCCCATCAGAGGGTTGCTGCAGACATTGATGTAGCAGCGGCGGGAGCCCTCCTGGCTGGTCCTCAGAACAAAGCCCGGCGTCGGGTGCACGAAGCGCACCTCCACGCCGCGCTCCCGCTCCAGCGCCGCCACCTCCTCCTCGTACAGCCGCCGCTGCTCGGGGTCGGTGAGCTCGGCCGCGAACTCCGCGAACAGAGCGCGGAACTGCTCGTCGCGGAAGGCGCGCCGGAGCCGCTCCGCCTCCTCGGCGCTGAGGTCCAGGTCGTGCAGCCGCCCCGCGCTCGCCATGGCCCCGGCACGGCTCGGCTCGGCCCGGCCGGGAGCGCTGCTATGGGGACGCCGAACAAGATGGCGGGCGTTGCCGTGGTGACGGTAAACAAGATGGCGGCGCCGGGGCGGCGGTTGCTATGGAGACGGCAAACAGCATGGCGGGCGGGCCCTCAGGGCCCAGGCCTCGCCGTCCCGGCCTCGCCTTTCCCCTCCCCTCAGCGGCTTCCAGCCAGCACCCCTGGCACCAGCAGGGCTCGTTTCCCACCGTCATCTCCTCATCCTTCTGTAAAGTCTATGTTCCTCCCCATGCCACAGCTCCGAGCTCCACTGCCATCCCCTCACACAGCAGTTTTAAATCCTCAGCAGGCCCAGCTTCCCTCAGAGCCCGTATCCTGCTGAGCCTCCTCCTTCCTGCTGTGAAAAACCAGGTTCACTCTCCTGGTAAAGTTCAGAAGTTTCATACAGGACAGTAGGATACAAAAATAAGGCAAAGATAACAGCTGTGTGCTTGGCATTCAGCCAAGAGCACTCCTGCTATTTTGGAGAACCCTTTACTATTTTACTATAAACCTCTTCTATTGCATCAGCCTACTGCATATTCAGCATTATGCATATTTAAACTTTTCCCCACAGTAGTTTACATGTTCTAAGTGTTTAGCATCGGGTCCACCTTTTCAGAGCATTTCTTGGCTGTGGTTTTAGTCCATTGTTATCATCACCTCAGTCTATATTTTGGTCTATAATTTTTACAGCCGGGTGTTGATAGCAGTAGGGGTCTTCATCACACATTCACTGGGTGTTATCCCAACTAAGTAGGCAGTTCAATTATCACCAGCATAACTGTATCAGCTGTTTCACTACCATGTCTAAGTTTAGTTAATAGCACAATAAAAGCTGTATAGCAAAGTTACTCTCAGATTATATGTATAGAATCCAATTAAGTATTAGTGAAAAGCCAATATTATGATATGTATTTATAACCCTGCCCTGGGCAGTGCCAGCACAGCAGGCAGGGCTGTGACACAGCTCCTGTGCCAGGGGTCCCCTCTGTGGGCACTTTGGGCTGCCCCCCCTGCTCTCCATGCCCACAAACACCTGGAGCAGCTTTTGGCTCAGTTTCCCTCTTTTCCCCACCAAGATTTCCTCCTCCCAGCCTTCTCCAGAAATTCTAAAGGATCATGTCCTTGATTTTACCACTCCTTGTCCTGTCTGCATAACAGCATCCCCAAATGGCTGCTGCTATCATAAAACACCTCACAGATCTTTCCTGGGCATTTCCCAGACAAGGAAACATCCTACTCCCATTTCCAGGCTCCTTGCAGATAACCAGCTATCCAAGTTCTCCTTATCTTTAATTTTTTTTTTTTTAATGCTCCTTTCCTGTTTGATACAGCTTGTTCCTCCATTTAACCTTTTTTTATGCTTTGCCAATTATTTTTCACTCTGACTTTACAATTTATCTAAACTGACACCAGTGTCTTTTCCTGTAAAAGTTTATTTGTGTACAAAACAAATCAGTTCTGACTTTTGACATTCTTTATAAAAAGTCCATGATAAATCACAAAACTAAGGCATGTAAATAAAAAAAAAATACAGTTGGCTTCCCATGGGTTCACTGCCTTTTTTCAGTGCCACAGAAATTCAGAGTCCTTGAAGCTTGCTGAAAATACCAAAGAAAAACAGTATTTTAAAGGTTTATTTTAAAAATAGTTCATAATGTTCCTCTATTTCTTTATCTAGGAAAGACTTGATAATGTTTTGAACTATTTAAAGACCTAAAGTATCTCATGGTGTGATATTTTTTATATTCAAATAGAAGTTAAATGGGCTGACCCATTATTAATTCCCTGAGAGGGCTTCTCCAACAAGGAGAAGATAAATTTATTCTTTTCCTAATGGGTTATACCATCATTATTTCAAACAGGTAAATTTTCATCCATTTTAAGCCCTTTGATACAATTTAATACTTTTTTGGTGTTGCAACTGTTTTTTCTCTGGTCAGTGGAATGAACAAGTGCAGATTTAAAAATATGTGAAATCCAAGCCTGAAAGTGGCTCCTGGGCTTGATGGTTATCACAAAATGAAGTAGAAACTGGTCCTAGATGTAATTAATTTATGTAACAACCATCATCCCCAGAAATAAATCTGCTCCCCAATTAGTACTCTATTATTGAAAATCAGGCAGTGCAATCATCTCCTTTCACTTCTGAATTGTGCTTCCCATCACTGATATCTGTAATTTCTACATATATTGCTTTAGTTCTGGCCATTTGGATTTGTTGCACTGCCTAAGTATGAAGTGTGAGTTAAGCTGCTGGAACATTCAAATATTACAAATTTTATGTGGGTTTTTTTAATGATAATCAGAAACTCAGCACATAAGAAAAACCTATTTACCTGTCTTCAACTGTCTTGTTGGAGGGGTAGAACACCTTGAAGCAAAACCCACTTCTGGGAAACGAACCCTGTGAAGGAAAAAGCGGGGAAAAAACCCCATTAGCGTGAGGGGAATGGCAGTGCAGGGCTGAGGAGGGCGGCAGGGCTGCTCACTCACGGGGTTGATGCAGAGGCAGTCGCTGCTGGTGACAGTGAAGGGGTCGTGCTTGTCAGCAGTGACCAGCAGGTCTGGCAGGGGATAAACCCTCAGGGCGTAATCGTAGGCCCAGAACACGGGGCTGACAAACAGCGGCAGCGGGCTCAGGTGGGCCTGCGACAGAATGGTCTTCACAAACTGCAACAATGAAAACATAACCCATAAACACTTGGTTAGAAACATTACACCTGCGACAGAATGGGCTTCACAAACTGCAACAATGAAAACATAACCCATAAACACTTGGTTAGAAACATTACACCTGGGGTAAAATGGGCTTCACAAACTGCAACAATGAAAATATAACCCATAAACACTTGGTTTGAACCATTACACCTGGGACAGAATGGTCTTCACAAACTGCAACAACAAAAACAGACCCACAAACGCTTGGTTTGAACCATTACACCTGGGGTAAAATGGGCTTCACAAACTGAAACAATGACAACATAACCCATAAATGCTTGGTTTGAACCATTACACCTGGGATAAAATGGGCTTCACAAACTGCAACAAAAAAAAACCCCACAAACGCTTGGTTTGAAACATACAAAGCATTTATCTCCTGGGATAAAATGGTCTTCACAAACTGCAACCAAAAAAACCCCAAAAAAACAAAAGGAAACAAAAAAAGAAACTAAAAAACAACAACAAAAAAATCCCAAAAAACCAATGACAAGCCCTTGGTTTTAAGCATTACCCCAGGATAGAATGGTCCTCACAAATTGTAACAAAAAACCCCACAAACAATTGGTTTTAAGCATTACTCCTGGGATAAAACAAGTCTTCACAAACTGCAAAAAAAACCACCCACAAATATTTGGTTTTAAGCATTACACCTGGGATAAAATGGGCTTCACAAACTTCAACAACAAAAACAGACCCACAAACGCTTGGTTTGAAACATACGAAGCATTTATCTCCTGGGATAAAATGGTCTTCACAAACTGCAACAACAACAACAAAAAAAAACCGAAATAAAAAAGGAAACAAAAATAAAAACCAACCAAAAAAAAAAATCTCAAAAAAACCCAGTGACAAATACTTGGTTTTAAGCATTACCCCGGGATAGAATGGTCCTCACAAAAAAAAACCATATTTTTTGTAACAAAAAACCCCATAAACATTTGGTTTTAAGCATTACTCCTGGGATAAAACAAGTTTTCACAAACTGCAAAAAAAAAAAAAACACAGATATTTGGTTTTAAGCATTTTAAGCATTACCCCTGGGATAAAATGGTCTTCACAAACTGTAAAAAGAAACCCCACAAACAATTGGTTTTAAGCATTTATCCCTTGGGATAAAATGGTCTTCACGAACTGCAACCAAAAAAAAAAAAACCAAACCCAAAAACAAACAAAAAAACCCCATAAACACTTGGTTTTAAGCATTACACCTGGGATAAAATGGGCTTCACAAACTGCAACAACAAAAACAACAAAAAAAAAACAAAATAAAAAAGGAAACAAAAATAAAAATCAACCAAAAAAAAAAAAATCTCAAAAAAAACCAGTGACAAATACTTGGTTTTAAGCATTACCCCGGGATAGAATGGTCCTCACAAATTGTAACAAAAAACCCCATAAACAATTGGTTTTAAGCATTACTCCTGGGATAAAACAAGTTTTCACAAACTGCAAAAAAAAAAAAACCACAAATATTTGGTTTTAAGCATTTTAAGCATTACCCCTGGGATAAAATGGTCTTCACAAACTGCACAAAAAAACCCCACAAACTCTTGGTTTGAACCATTTGAAGCATTTATCCCCTGGGATGAAATGGTCTTCACAAACTGCAACCAAAAAACCAAAAATAAAAACAAAAGCAAACAAAAAAATAAACTAAACAACAACAACAACAAAATCCCAAAAAAAACAACTACAAACCCTTGGTTTTAAGGATTACACCTGGGATAAAATGGTCCTCACAAATTGTAACAAAAAACCCTATAAACAATTGGTTTTAAGCATTACTCCTGGGATAAAACAAGTCTTCACAAACTGCAAAAAAAAAAAAAACCACAAATATTTGGTTTTAAACATTACACCTGGGATAAAATGATCTTCACAAACTGCAACAAAAAAAAAAAAACAAAAACAAAAGGAAACAAAAAAATAAACTAAAAAACAAACAACAAAAAAAATCCCCAAAAAAACCAACGACAAACACTTGGTTTTAAGGATTACACCTGGGATAAAATGGTCCTCACAAATTGTAACAAAAAACCCCACAAACACTTGGTTTTAAGCATTTATCCCTTGGGATAAAATGGTCTTCACAAACTGCAACAAAAAAAATCCCACAAACACTTGGTTTGAAACATATGAAGCATTTATCCCCTGGGATAAAATGGTCTTCACAAACTGCAACAACAACAACAAAAAAAAAACGAAATAAAAAAGGAAACAAAAATAAAAACCAAC